CTGGAAGAAGAACAGGGGGGCGTGACCGAGGCAATCTAGTCCGAAAGGGAGTCCGTAAGAAAATCCAGAGAAAGCAAAAGTCCAGAGCCGGGTGGTCCATTCAAGACAAAGACATGACAGAAGTTAAAAGCCAGAGAGGGGTCTGGCGAGGGGTCGGGGGAATAAAAGGGGTTACGGGACCAGGCGCTCCCAGCCCCGGACCCAGATGGTCAGGACGCCGTTGTGAAGCCGATGCCGTCGAGCCTCTCCTGGACTCGCTGGTAGGCAGGCTTCCGGGCGTCCGTCTTCCAAAGCTGAGCCCAGATTGGTGGGAGTGTCTGGCTTTTATAGGAAGGGGGCTGGAACCAGAGGCAGGTGCAGGAAATCAAAGATAAACAAGGGAGAGCCGGAGAGTCCTTAAGAGGAGGGGCCTAGGATCGTGACATTGATGGCTTTCTACTGTAGTATAACAATAAAAATATCGCTCTGTCATTTTTATGTAAATTGCTGTTCTTGTTAAACCATTGCCAATTCAGGACTGTTGACTTGCTTGTGACAGACACAGCATTTATCACACTTAGGCACATTGTGAGAAATGTCTTCTCTCACAGCAGATTATAGCCTGGGCTTTCTGATAATAATTTTTAGTCTGACTTTGTTATTATTGTTTGCCGAGTTTCTTTTTTTATTGGCAGAGAATTGTTTTTACAGATTACACTTCACCTTAAGGAGATCCTGTCTGAGATCAACTGTACAAAATACTAATCCATTTATTACCTAAAAATAGTCCTTCAAAATAAACCCTTCATTCTGTTAACCAGTTCGGTCCTTTATTTATTTCAACAATTAGTCTGCCTGCTCTGTTTTTTATTGATATGAATAGGTTTTTATTCTAATTTGGATTCAATAATAACTTTAGGGATAGTGTAGGGATAATTAATCCAGTAGCAACTAAGTATATCCCTGGGGTGTCAGCTTTACTATTACAAATGTTGTAGTATTTATTGTGTGTGCTGCTTGTATTTTGCATTTTCTTTTGTTTTAGTTTGTTTCTCCTTCCTGCTCGGAGTCTTTACACATTAGTCCACAGCAAAATCTGGGTGCAATATGTCACATGACAAGTCATCACTGACAATTGAAAATGCCGGAGGCCTGCAGGGGCTTCTGTCTTTTTTTCCAGTCGAATCTACTCTAAACCAAATGTTCTAATCAATATTGATTGATTGTAAACATTGACTCTTATTTTAGGACCTAAAATAAATATGAGGTAGACAAAGATGGTTTAAACACCCACAAAATACCATTCCTCTTATAGCCTTATCACCAAATAGCACACTTTCTGAAAACAAACAATGAAAAGAGCTTAAATATCTTTCATTTCAAGGATCTTAGGATCAGAAACCATAAACAGCTCTTGATTTCAACATCCCCTGGTTTCTCCTAACTGCAATCCTAACTCATACACAAAGTAATAATTCTTTCTTAATCACAAATATGGAAATCAGTAACCTCTAACTGCACAACTCATTAAACCCAGAAGGCTGTGATATACTGTAAATAGAGGGCTGTGGGAGGCAATTTCAGATGAAAACCTTACTTTCAAAAAACAATCGCCTCTGTAGTCTAATCCCTTTTAAACACCCTCGTCACTCAGTCTTTCATGCTGGTACACAGCATCTGTCCATCAGGTCTGCACAGGCTTTTGCCTACACTACCACTCAGCCTGCCCTGACCAGGACTCAGAGGAGCAGGAAAGCTGGTCCAGGTCAATAGTGGGGTGAGGAAGAATGAGATATCCACTGCCAGAGGTGCTCATGAGCTGCTGCTGGGGTTCTAAATGGAATTCAAACTCTCACTGTACAGTGTGTTATGAGAATTCGGGCTGTGCACACACCCCTCAAGTATCTTTCTAGTCAGGAGTTTCCTCCATATGACATTAGAGTATGAACATGGAAACCTACAGACACTGCATTGCCCTCGTGGAGTCTGCAACAGCGCCCAGTCTGTCCCCATTTGGAGAAGCAGAGCAAGCTCTGTGGCATGGTGTCTCTTTCCATTGAGTTCAGAAGGGCTGCAATTTCTTTTCTGACCTGGGATCTCTGAAAAGGTGTCCACTTAAAAAAAAAAAACATCTCTACGTACTTTACCCCCGTGGGCTTTGCCCTCATGCAATTATCATACTGTATATTCTACAGCCATCAGACCTTCTCTATAACTACTGTAGAGCCTGATGGGAACTGTCCCTCTTCCTAGCCATTGTGAGGGAATTGTGGTTCTATTTTTCCCAGGAACAATGAAAAGATAAGATCACTTTATTGGCCATATACAATTTCTTGTATTAGGAATTTGTCTGTTCACATACCCCAGCTTGCTCTCTATGAGACACACAGGCACACAGATGGGGAGAGAGAAGCCTAGGGTCATAGCACAGGGTGAGCCATTTATACAGCGCCCCTGGAGCAGTTGGGGTTAAGGGCCTTGCTCAGGGGCCCAACAGAGTAGGATTCCTCTGCCGGCTGCGGGGTACGAACTGGCAACCTTCCAGCCACAGGCACAAATCCTGAGCCACAGAGCCACAGCTCTGCCCCCTCAGCACTCAAACCAAGCCAAGGTCACGCGACTCTTCAGGGGACGACTATCCTGCTGTGCACCATGGGTTCCAAGAGCAGGTGCTGGAATTGGCAGGTGGGCTCTGAGGGCCTGTGAGCAACAGTGCTGGAGAATGGAGCTGCACAGTTTGCAGCCCATTGTTTCTCGCCACTCCCCTGAGAGGCTCCTGCAGGGAAAGGTCAAGCCCCCACCTCAGACAAGAGCAAGTGGCTTGTCACCTCCAGGTCCCTACTCTCCTCCAGAGGGGAAACACAGCGAAACAGCTTGGATGAATTGTGCCATTTCAACAATGAATAGAAAATTATGTTGACATTTGAAAATACAAGCAGCCAAAGATGAGTATAAAAACATTTAACTTATATTGAAATACAGGCATGAAGAGTGAAGAAACTGTAGGGGTCTGAAATATATTAAAATATATTTCAAATGGTTAGATGGTTAAATTTGTTTAAACATACAGTACGTGTACAGTATTATACCAGACATTTTTAAACAGTGTACTATATGACTGGCATCCTGGCCAGGCTTCAGTTCTGCCTTGTTCCTTGTGCTCTGGGTGGATTTCTAATATGATACTGTATACATATATTCAATACATTTACAGTATAAGTAACATACTTTCAAGACATGTTTCTTAAACATGCCTTTTTTAGTAGATGAACAGCTATGATATAAAATATTAGACCAGCGAAGGAGTCCACCTGCCGTCTAAGTGCTATTGGCCAAGTCAAACTGGGAAAATAAATCTTTGCAAGCTCTAGTCAGGCTGCTGTTATATGGAGTGTCTTTGCAAGGCACACTGAATCCCCAGGGCACTGCCCTACAGAGCTCATGGTCCAGGGAACAGACTGGGAGCAGGAAACAGCTGGCAGACCTGCTTGGCACAGCTATTCCCTGAAAGCAGCAGACAACACTGGCTTTTTAAACAACTGTAATATGATTAGCAGATCTGATCTGATCTTTTTTGTGTTGTTTATCCAACTGGTTTTAAAGGCAAATTCAAGTTTAACTGCAACAAACCCTCACAGATTAAGAGACAGCATTACCTTCTCGCTTTCAATGGCACAAGAGTATAAAAGGAGGCACTGATCAATATTTCCATGTCAAGCTTTCCCTACTCCAAACCTCCACTTCCTGATCTTCCTCAGTCTGAAAGCTAAGGTTCTTGATTCAGCCAAGAACGGTGTCAGAGACGGTGTCAGAGACTAGAGATGGTGACGGTGCGATAGACAAACCTCTATGTGGGCTGGGCTTCCAGTACCTTTTTGCATCAGTTTCAAGGTTCTTTGGTGGATATAAAGTTGAAGCTCTGACCGGCTTGGCTCCATGGATGGTTTTGCTAACACTACACCCTACCTGTGGTCTGTGTCTGAAGACTTCAGTGGTCTGACCAATGACCTATGGTGCAACTGAAAACAATGCAAGGTCATTACTGTATGAAGTACCCTAGTGAGGCAAGTCCTTCCTATTTAACACCAGAGAATTTCGTGTCATCTTTTGAGGTGACATTTTCACAGTGCTTTTAGCTCTGTTTTTGTCCACGTAAGCTTGGGCTGTATAATACTGTAGTACTAATGACCCTGCAGGATCATTCTCAGTTACGAGAGGTATTGCATCTGTAAATTGCATTTTTGTTAGACGTCTTTCTTCTATGATTAGCTCCTATTTACATTTGGCAGTATATCCAAAAAGGACTTGATTTAGTAGTCCATATATTTTAGCAAGGCGTCTTCCTGAGCAAGACGTTTTTAATGCAGATTGTTTTTAGTGATGAGGTAAGAAGCTGGCACTTTTATGGTGCTATTCAGGGGTAATGGCTTGCAATCCACACAGATCAGCACAATGGTCAAGCACTGTGATTGCTTTGCTGCAAGAGGATCACAGAATTGTTTCCGTACTATCAGTATTTTAAAAGGAGCAGTTCACCAGGGCTGAGAGATTTTCTTTCCCAGTGGGCTCCTGTCTTTGTTGGGGGAAATCCGGAGTGCAAAAACACGAGGCAGCTTAGCAGCACAGCTCATTAACACCAAACCAGCCACGTCCTACTAGGATTTGACAGAGAGGGAGATGCGGCTTGCTTGGGCAGCTGTCAGAGACTCCTTTAGTTGAGATAGGAAATATTTTTGTTTTTCTGAGCTGAGAACGTAGGAAAAAGAAAGTCGACTGACTTAAAATGGGGAAACAAGCATGTCTCTATTCATTAGCTGTTATACTGTATTTTATGTCGAATCACAGAATGACAACAGCAGAGAAGACCTTTGCTCCCTCTGTAGCCCAGACAGTGATCGTTCACCTGACTTCAGTGAAAGCTGCAGCACTGTTATTTGAGATACAGACGGAAAGCCAATGCGTATAAAAATGCACCGCCTCTCCCCAGCCATCCCACCTGTCTCCGCGGGTCAGGGGCTCACCTTCTCCTGGTACTGCCGCCGCGAGGAGTCGAGCGACTGGATGAGCGCGGTGGCGTGGCCGATGAACATGGCGTAGCAGGTGGCGCCCACGATCATGCTCAGCATGGTGAGCCACACGTCGGTCATGCCCACAGGGGCCTGCTGCCCGTAACCAATGCACAGCATGTGGCTCATGGCTTTGAACAGGGCGTAGGAGTACTGCTGGCCCCAGGTGTCATTCTGTGAGGGAGACACACATTGACAACATAAATACAAGGTGGCATAAACTTTCGAGATGCTGTTCCGCAAAAACATCACATATCTTATAACAGGGCCAGAATGTTCAGATTATAAATATCATGTGATTCAGACCTTTGGGTGACATTCACTGCTTCAATCCTCTTCTGTTCTCCTTAAATACTCTATGGTCCTCATTAGGCCTAATAAGGTACGATGGAGCAAATTGAAAAAGGAACGTCAAATGTTGGTAGGACACAAGCAGGTTAGAAATAAGAAAATGGAATGCACTGGGTATCTTTTCCTGAAATGAACTATTGTGCACTTTCTGAGCTCCTTTGGGTAATGCCTGCTGAACAGAGATGGAATAACAATAAAGTGTGATGTGAAGCGACATGTTTAAATCTGTCTGGGGTAGATTTCCCAAAGAACACAAAATCAAATAAAGCCAATTAGTTTGTCTCTGCAAAAGCAAAACATGACAGAACCCCTCACAAAACACACACAGACACTAATGTATTAGCACATAGGCACTAACGGTTTAGCACGTAGCCATTTCATACTGTATATACTGTACATACACGTGCACAGAAGAGATGCTCCCGGAAGCAAATTCATCACATGCTTGGGGTGACTTGTTCCTGCATGACCACCCACCTGGAAGATGTGTGGCAGTCATTACGTGCCAGCAACTGCAATACACAGCCAATCACCTGGAGAAGTGATGGTTACTTCACCAATTGAAATAAGAGAGAAAGGAGTAGAATTTAACCTGGAAACCAGGGCTGACACCCATATTCAAAAAAATAATGCCGACGTATATTTAATGTCAATGTAGTCAGAACCTTGGTTTAATGTCTTAACCAAATGATGGCACTATCTACAGCACAGTGGTTTTGGTCACCACAATGGGACAACGGTCTAGAAACAGGGAAGATCACCACCAACTCGTCCACCAACACTACTTACAGTAGCATCTTTATTTTCCCTGGGGACGACCCTTTCCAATATTGACTAAGCCCAGTCTTAATTATCTACAAGGTGGTAACACTGCTGTCAATGCTGTAGATATTGCTTAGAATGAAGTGAAAATAAACCAAAGAAGGTGTCCAGGTGATGTAGTCAGTAAGAACACAGAGAGACACATAGAAAGAGTTCAGTTTGTGAGACTGAGTTAATGCCTTGAACTAAGTTGTACTAAGAAAATGTGCCAGTATTGGAAATTATTGGAAATTAATTTGGTAGAACATTTAAGGGTTAAACTTTGGACTTCAAAACAGATGTTATAAAAATTGTGTGTCATCCCCTTTCAGGGGCTTTTAAACTATTTGCTTTCATGGGGCAATTATCTTCTATGAAATACATCACAAACTCATAACACTTGACATTACACTGTTGGGGCAGTTGTAACTTAGCCTGGAAAGAAGTCAGGTGCTGAAACTTTGTACCCCATATCCTCTGCGTTTTCATGGAGAAAGTGGGTCAAAAGTTCATTGTCTATTAATTTAATAAGTATAATATCAAACGCAGGAATGTCTAAAAGAAGATTAACAATTGGTATTTAGCATTTTTTGCAAAATGCAGAAAAGTGAAGAAGCAAAGAAAAACTATGTCTTCATGATCAATTTGATTTTGCTTAATCACTGAAAATTTCAAAGGCTGTCCTTTTCCCTTTTAATTGGAGCTGGTTATAAGGACAAGTCTACTGTTCTCTGTTAGTATTCACTGGCACTGGAGAAAAAGCTCACCGCACCTTATCTGAGCTTTCTGCATTTTCCTTCAATTGGGAACTGAAATTAGATGACATTGTTAAATTAGAATTGGGACAATGGCATCATTGCAAATTTGGCAGTGGATCACTGACTTCAGCATTGTTTGAATGAACATTGATCCAGGTTCTGCAGCAAGGACTGGGACCAGATGGGAAGTGAGGTGCCTCTCAGTTCCGGGCAGCGCGGAGCTCGTACTCACCACCATCTTGTTTTTGGCGACCCAGCAGTCGCTGGGGAAGTCTTGCAGCATGGGCACCAGAAACTGCAGGCAGCCGTCCCAGTGGCACAGCAGCAGCATCATCCCAATCAGGTTGACAATGCGCACCACAGCGCTGGCCAGGTCATAGGTCATGTGGAAGATCTGTGGGTGCAAGAGAAAGCATCTGACTGTATCTTACTGCTTCTTACCACATCTTACATTCTTTCCTCATCGGCAAGCCTGTTGGCCCATTGGAAGCCCATTGGCTTTTTCTCCACTCTATCTTTAGATCAGCTTCTCGTGGCAAGTTCCTGTATGGGAGAGCTTCTGCTTCAGTTTCTTAGACTGCACTTTCAAAGCCTGTGAAATTCTCTCCAGGATTTGGGCAATTTCTGGACCTTGTTCAGCTTTCATATGAAATTGCTGGATTTTAAAGTCCGAACGCTAAATTGCAACCAATACAAAAGACACACAAAAGGTGGGGGGGGAGCTCCAATCTAAAAAAGGCTAAAGGGACAACTGGTCAAGGCGAGCAACTCCCAACTCCAGCTGCCCCAGGTTTTGCGAAAGGAATTTGCAATCCAGTCATGCTTCTTTCCAGAAGACCAGATTCTGGAGTACAAACAACTGAGGCTTAAGAGTATTGCAGTCTGGGCTCCACGTCACAAAATTTTGGGCTGCAGTTAGACCCGAGAACAAAAGGCACCATGCCTGAAGGTTGAGAGTGCAGCCACTTGTGAATCATCTCTGAGCAGCAGCAGCTGAGGCTCAGCAGCACAGCAAGGTTACATCTGAAAGCACGTTAGTCACATATCCCCAAAACGAGTGGGCAGGGACCTCAGAGCAGCTAGAACGGAAAGTGTTAGTGACGCTCTTCGTCTGGAGCCACCGATATGGTGGCATTGCACACGTTCTGTGTGCCCGTTTAAAGTGGATTAGCCGGTGCATTAAGATTTGAGAGGAACGGGAAGTTTTGTCCCAGTCAGGACTACTGTTCATCCTGCTGGTCCAGTTCTGTATTGCATGTAAACAGAGTGGGAGCCGGCAGGAGACTGACTGGACACAAGAGAACAGTCATACAGAGAAGAGACTAGACCCCTTTCAGTGACTGTAGCAACAACTAGATCAGTCCTGTAACACCTTTTAAATACAAAGGGCACTTTACCTCCAAACTTCAACTTAAATCAAGTTAAATTTCTCTAGGCATTTTGGTGAATTTAAGATAATGAAAATGAAGAATAGTACATTACAGTGTACTCAGTTATATAATAGAATTATAAACTCTGTTATATATTAGAAATCCTTCTATTTGTAAGAGCTAAATGCACTCTAATCTTATTCAGAACCTTCACTTTATGAATGCTGACGATTTATGGGGGAATGCTTAATACACATATATGTAAACACTAAAGACTTCTTCTGGAAATGAATGTGGGATGGAAAAAGAGTTGTTTTAGTATGAAATTATATTTGGGCTTCTGTGTGTCAATAAGAGTGATTCTCATATTTTGCCTACTATAAATACACTGTGTCAACGGTTTTAACAATAAAGACTGTGGTAACAGACAGCTCTGTTAGATCGCTGATTGGATCTGCATACACATTGCACAGGGTACAGATCATTTTGATACGTTAATGGCCAAAAACTGAAATTTCCATAGGCAGTGTCGTTGCAGGACATCAAACATCTTCTCTGCAACTAGCTACAGTACAACACATTTTTATATGTAGGGCCCCCTAGAGACAGAGTACACAAAGATGCTACTGGTCTAGGAGCATGAATAGTTCTTGCAAACCAAAAGCAACAGGAGGTATTGTATAGGGCAGAAAACCTGTCAGTGAGGGGAAACTAGTTCCATTAGATGAAAGAGCTTGTGGAATCTGAAGAGGCTACAGAGAAGGAAACTGACTTTCCTCCAATTTGAGCTGTGCCTGAGCCTGTCAAGCAATCAGCAGGCAAGCAGTCAGTGAGTTTGCAATGATGGAGCTCATCTGAAGGGAGACATGCTTGTCTTTTGGGACAGAAAACAAAAACACCCTCTTTTTTCATTGTGGAAGATTTCTCCTGAGACATGAGAAGTAATTCCACCTTCTATGAAGATCAATTAAACGTGCAGAAGTCACTTACAGAACTTAATCATCTGAAGTGCAGCAGCCATATCACTCTCAAACGCACAACTGGCATCCCACTGAAGCTCAGCAGGTGTGAGCCTGGTCAGTACTTGGATGGGAGACCTCCTGGGAAAAAACTAAGGTTGCTCCTGGAAGAGGTGGTAGTAAGGCCAGCAGGGGGCTCTCACCCTGTGGTCTATGTGGGTCCTAATGCCTCAGTATAGTGACGGGGACACTATACTGTAAACAGGCGCCGTCCTTTGGATGAGACATAAAACCGAGGTCCTGACTCTCTGTGGTCATTAAAAATCCCAGGGCGTTTCTCGAAAAAAGTAGGGGTGTAACCCTGGTGTCCTGGCCAAAATTCCCATTTGCCCTTACCAATGATGGCCCATCTATGAATTGGCTTCATTACTCTGCTCTCCTCCCCACTAATAGCTGATGTGTGGTGAGAGTGCTGTAAAGCACTTTGAATGGAGTGTCTATATATATATATGTGTATAAGTGTAAGCAATTATTATTATTATTATTATTATTATTATTATTATTAAACTGGTTTCACATCTGAAAGAGTTTTTGTTTTGTAGGAATCCTACAAATGTTCTGAGGAATAAGAGCATTAGGATATACACCTCTGCAGAGAAATGCACATCACATTACCCAGCCTCCTTTTCTTCCTGTTCATAGGTTTCACAGACTAACCATGCAGAAATTGTCATGCAAATACTTGAAATGCAGCAAATCATAGGCATTGTGCTACTTTTAACAAAAATTCAGGACACGTGAAATAAAGTTTTTGATGTCCCTGGACAACTGTATTAAACTTTTGAACTCCTCAGAAACACAGCTATTCTGGGCTGACCAGAATAATGAAATGCAAATCTTAAGACTGTGTTGAAAATATTAAATAAGAGAATCAGTTTTAAAATGCATTGAGTTCAGTTGATGCCAGATTTTCACATTGCATGTTTTTTTTTTACATTTTTAGTTCATTAATATCAACTGACTGAACGTAGCATGGCTGTAAATCCAAAAGCAATCTGATTGCATTTTTTAAATTAGCTATATTTAACATCTGAAAGGTGACTTGTTAAGAAAGGTGCCCGAAATTGTATTATCTGCGCAACCTACAGTTATTAAAACTGCAAACTGGAAGTGATAAAAAAACTGTAAAAAACATCCTCATAAAGATCAAAGAGCATTTTATTGTCCATATACAATTTATTGTATTAGGAATTTGTCTTTTCACATACCCTAGCTTGCCCTCCATGAGACTCACAGACAAGGAGAGAAGCTTGGGGTCAGAGCACAGGGTCAGTCATTTATACAGCACCCGTGGAGCAGCTGGGGTTAAGGGCCTTGCTCAGGGGCCCAATGGAGTAGGAATCCTTTGCAGGATTTGAACTGGCAACCTTCCAGCCACAGGCACAGATCTTTAGCCACAGAGCCACCCCTCATTTTACAAAAATGTTTTTATACAATGTGTAGAAATATGTATTGCAACTTTCTGTTTTTTACAGTTTTCCTCTATTTTACTCTGGTTACAGTTTGCCTTTATTGCGTTTAAGTGCAATTGACTAAAATAATACAACAATTGGCCATGATAAATTCTCGTAAGAGCAGTGCAGAATAAAATACCATCTAAAAGTACTGTACATAAGATAAGATCACATTATTGGCCAAATACTGTACAATTTCTTGCATTAGGAATTTGTCTTTTCACATACCGCAGCTTGCTCTCCATGAGACACACAGATAGGGAGAGAAGCTTGGTGTCAGTGTGCAGGGTCAGCTATTGTACAGCACCCCTGGAGCAGTTGGGGTGAAGGGCCTTGCTCAGGAGCCAAACAGAATAGGCTCCAGTAGTAGTTCCGGCCACAGGCGCAGATCCTTAGCCACAGAGCCACCACTTAGTGCCTTTAATGAGGAACTGGACGCTTTATAAATGTAACCACCAGATACTAACTCAAGCAAACACGTTTTAGGTGGAGATTTGGGAGGGAGTCACGTTAATCAGGTGGCTGGAATTGGAAAGATCTGAACTCTGAGGATGTCCAAGCAGTCAGAGCCCTGGGAGGACAGCTTGGTCAGGAGTGGGGAGTGTTCGGAGCTTTAGCAAGGACAAAGGAACACAACCGTTTCTCACTTTACACATCAGTTAAAGAATTTATAACTAATGCAAAATAGTATGGTTATTAATGCAGAGTTTATGAGACAATAAATATGATGTTTGTTTCCTACTTTTGGTAAGTCAATGTCTTGCTGCGGTTTTTAGCTAAAAATGTTTAATGACTGAAGGTTTAATAGACCAATAAGCTGAGAATTACAGTAGTTAATGCAGAATGCCACAAAAAAGTGATCCAATGATAGATTCACGCACCACCTAGCAGAAAGGAAAGAGGAATCTGACACTCAGCCCAGAAAGGAGATGTAATTAACATTGTCAAGGATCCATCAAAGTCTCCATATTTCTCGCACTTATTACAGTTATAAACATTTTCTGTCCTAAATCATTATTTTCAGCCGATTGTACAACAGCAGAGTGAAAGCATGGTACATTAGTGTAAAATACAGTGGAAGTCAGCAATTACCTTCAACCACATATTAAACCTCATTAACAATTAGGCCATTCTCTCCTCAGGGAGCATGTGGGCAACACAGCACAGAGAAGATTAATCCAGGGGAGCTCAGCACATACACACTTACACACTGCAAACAAGTGTTACTTTATGCAACAGAGGCTCTTTAAATGACCTCTGTTGAGATCTTTCATTAACCCTCATTATTTACTTTTTATTATAAAAAGTCCATTGTTTATTTTTATATATAATTTGTAGTTGTAATTATCATTGTTAATTTAATCACCATTTTGATGGCTTGTATTTTCGCCTCGCCTGTGGTCCAGCAGTATTGTCCGTGTCTGTCTGTTCCACCATGCTACATCAAGAATACAGAACCTGCCTCACCTCTGGAGTAAATGAAGTCTTACCTGTCCATCAAGCAGAGGTGGGGGTGGAGCTTAGGGCATTTGACCTGGGCACTCACGGAGT